GCCCTCCCCACTACCCCACCCGGCCTGCAGCTTCCCCGGGGGCTGCCCCCGCCTCTGCACCCCTTTCTGCCAGCCCCCCGCCCCGGGTTTGTGCCTGGCTTCTGCCCCGCTTCGGCTTTGCCTCAGTTTTATGCCCGGCTTATGCCAAGCCTCCCCCTGAGGTTTTTTTGCCTCGTTTAATGTTGGCCTTCCCCTAAAGTCGGTGTCGTTGGCAGCGCCCCCCACCGCTACCGCTGCGCCCCAGGCGCGTGCCAGGTTTGGGTTGGCTTTCCCCAAGGTCTGCGCCCAGTTCATGTTGGCCTCCCCCAAGGCTTGTTACGCCGGGACTCCCCTGCGGTCCGTGCCTGGCTCACGCTGGTCTTCCCAAGGTCTGCGCCCAATTTTATGTTGGCCTCCCTCCAGTTTGTGCCCGTGCACCCGTCAGGACCGCTGTGCAGGCGCAGAGGCCCAGCCCAGCTGCCGGGTTCAGCACACCTTGTGCTGAATCACCCCACCCAGGACCCCAGCAGTAGGTTTGGCCCCCCCTTTCCAGGGGGTTGTGCACCCGTGGCTTCCCTGGGCTGTGCTGGAGGAAGGGAGCAAGGGGAAGAGGCGAGCCCCAGGGCTGCCACCGTTGCTTGTGGCTTCTTCCCGCTGCGGGGAATTGTTTTCTTCACCGGTGCTAGGTCCATCTGTGGGGACGTCGCATGTGTTGAAGGGCATCCTCCCAGCTCTGAGCCGGACTCCTGGAGCAGTTTAGCTCAGCGTGTTCCTCAACCACCTTGCCTCATTTTTTGCCACCGTTTTAGGTGAACATAGCCCATTTCTTTCTAGTATTCCCTGTGTCTCTCCTAAATTCACCTACATCCCCATTGTTATCACTGTCAGACTCCAAAAGGAACAGAAGAATATCCAAATGAGGACTCAAATGGTGTTCTCTCTTAACTTACGTAGGGAGAAGCAGCAGGAAGCGCGGCAAGGTGGGATGTTTAGAAGAAAGCCAGACCGCGTTCCCCCAGCAGCGGCGGAAGAGAGGAGGAGGTAGAAATGGAAAGGATAAAAATGCTGACCATCGGCTAGGAGCCAAGCAGCTGGACTGGGACTCGGACCCGGCGTTGTGCTGACTGACAGGCGTCGCGCCCCCAGGCTGGCCTGCTTTGCGTGAGTAAAGTTGCTCGCGTGCCTAGTCGTTTAAAGGGTGCCCGAGGCACTTGCCTGCCTGGCGAGGCTCTGTGCCGTGAAAGGGTGGGATGATCTGTAGTGACTGTTCTATAAATACAAATTTGGGTCTTACTACTTGTATGATGTGCAGCTCACAGTGCTTGTATTTCTCCGCAACAGCTGCAGCTGTTGACTTAAGTAAACAAGGGGTGTGTTGTTAAATGCCCACCCCTCGCTGCACGCTGAAGCGTTTTAAGAGTACACTCCTGACTGCTCCTTGAGAATCCAAGGGGCTAGCCCCTAAATTTTGACAGGTACAATGTGCAGAAGGTCCCCATAACTGTCTGAACTGGTCATTGTTCCAGCTTTCTTTTGCTGCTTACTTCTGTGTAGTTGCAAGTGGGACCTTGTCCTTGCAACTGTTGTTACTCTTTCAAATGTGTGGTAATTCACAGCAGCTGGGAAGCCTTCTGAAAAGCTTGAGCAAACTTGAAAAACATTTTGTTTTAAAATCCGTCTGCTTCCTATACGTGCCACCAGCGTTTGCAGAAAGGGGTTCAATTAGCTTGTTTTGCTCTGTTTTCCCCTGGAGACATCTATCTAAGAAGCAGATTGACTAATTTTATTTTTGTATGCCCATTAAATCAATGGGGGTAACGCTAGGGATGAATGTGGCCCAATGGGTTCCTTAAGAACTCATCTGCTCCTTATTCCACGACCATTTCCTTGCCAATAACAACAGTTTTTAATTACAACATGCAACATCTGTCCAAATATAAAATGAAGTGATCACAGAGTTCAAACTGTGATCCATTGAAACGGGCATTCTCATGGTATAAACCTTCCTGGGCTGCTAATTCAACATTTTGCATCTGTAAAATGGAAAGAATTTCTAGAACGGATTTACTTTTTTTTCCGCCTTCAGCAACAAAAATATACTGGTCACCCTCATTGTGGTTCCAGGTTAATTGATTTACTAGTATTTGACCTCTCTAAGATAACAGTAGAGCTTTTCTTAAGATTCATGAAAACTGTGGTCCTGATTCTACAAATCAGTCCACATGTGCTGAACTTGTGAACAGTACCATTAACTAAGCCAGACAGAGTTAAAAGGGGGAACTGGGGAGCCCACGCTAGGCCATTGCTAAGATATAATTCATTAGTTTTGCTCTCCGAGGTTAGTATTAACACGAGTTTCACCACTGCAAGATACTGCTTATGTCTGGGGAGAAGGGAACGTTACACTGAAAGGAAAGAAAAACAGAGAAAGAGGGAGAGAAGAAAGAGCTTATTTCCTTCCTATTAAGCTCTGCTGTGCCTATACGTCAAGATATTATTTATGTGAATGTGTCACTAAACTCTGAAAAAGGTTACCAAGAAGTCTCTCTGCTGGCAATGTCCTATAGGAAAGGCAGTAGTGAAATAAAGTATGGTTCGTAGGCTTTCCCAGCCAATCGGAAAGCTGCATCAAATGCCACCCACTCTATAGTAAAGGCATCCTGTGTTTTTTTGCAGGAAGTTCTTTGGGATGAGGAAATGTTGATATGTACAATGTGCAGAAGGCCCCCTAAACTGTCTGAATCAGTCATTGTTCCAGCTTTCTTTCATTACGTACTTTTGTGTGGTTTCCAACATGGGGCCCTGGTTTATTTCTGTTTAGCAACAAAGGAAAAACTGCTCACGTGATTTATTATTTGTAAACACTGACCCTGGTGTTGGCCCTGCCTGTTCCGAGATGTTTGCCAGCTGCTGCTTTACCTCTATCAGATTTCACTTTGTCTTATACTGCCATTCCTCTTGCTGCGTGGTACTTCTCCATAGGAAGCAGTAGTAGTTGTAGGGTCTTTGAACGTGAGGACCACCTCTGGACCACCTCTGGCCACCTTTAGACTTAGGGTACAAATTTTGCTATTACTTGTGTATGGAAATCAGAGCTGCACAATGGCATGTACTGGGCACACACTTATAAAAGACACTTTTCGCCTTCAAGAAGTAATACGTCTAATCCTTGTTTTATCAGCACTCCCCAACTTGACCTATGTCCTCTACACACCTAGAGCAAGATAGGTTCTAGGATGCTTATGAGCTAAAGCCCCATCACACAAATGACTTCTGGGAGAATTCCCGTCTTTCAGGATTCTGCCTTAACTGCACAACCATTAGACAGAAGTGAGAGGTAAAAGCTAGATGATGTCCCATGTGCATCCTCTTTCCTTTTGTGTTCCTTGAGCAAGGAGAGCCAAACTGCAAAGGTTTCTACTAAGCGTGCTCAGAGCTGCGTACTGCCAGCTTTGCAGTGGGGTGACACAGGAAGGGTGGGCAGCACACAATCCTACTTGAGCATGAAAAACGGGCATTGGAAATGGACCTCATTTTCTGTGTGGTCATCTTTGATCCTTCTCCTGTCATTGCTGCTCTGGTGCAGGACTGGCAAGAAGCACTGCAAGCTTTGTAACCCAAGTCATTTTGTTGCAGGTCAGTTTTTAATGGAACCAGACATGTTCCTGAAATACGTACTCTGCAAATTTGCAACAGTATGTGCTGTGTTGTGTATCAGTCTAAATTCCTCTAAAATGCTTAGTCTGAAACATCTGCTACTTGACTAGCATAAACCAGGCAGTGGTGGATGCTAGATCTAGCAGTATTGTTTGACTTTTATTGCTACTTGGCTTTTTCTGATGTTCCTGTGGCAGATATTTCAATCTACTTCAGGCTGAGAGCCAGCACAGTGAATTAATATTTATTGTCACTACAGAGTTTCTCTGTTTGACAAGGTGCAATAGTACTGGTATGTATGGTGTCAAACATATTCCAAGCAGTCTAGAAATGATAAGGCCAGAAGAATCCTGAGCTTTTTTTCTGGTCTCCCTTAGAAGTACGCTTATGCTGTTGGGATTTCCTGATGCTCAGATGCGAAACTGTACAGCTAGGAGGAAGAAAAGGAAGGTGTTGTCCGTGTGCAAAGTGCAGTTAAGTCCATTTGTACCTTTGCTCTGTCCTCTCCTTCCCAGGATCTCTGTGGAGAATGCTCCCTCCCATAGATAGTTTTGGGAGGGGAGCGTTGCACTTAGCAAGTCTGCTGCTTCTTTTGGCAAAGCAATAATGAAAGGATTGCATCTTTCTGTGGCCTTCTTTAAACATTGTATTCGGAGCCTGGAGGGCCTGGACTCTCCATTCTGCCGTGCTGTGGGACATTATATTCCACCACCTTGTGTGTAATGCTGAGGAACTGTTCAATTACAATTTAATTTGATTTTATTCCTTAATTAGGACAGATTGGGCTTTGCTCCCATCTGTTCAATAGAAATCTCAAGTGACTGATTCATAGGAAAATAATATCTGAGCTCTGATCCATTTTTTTTTATGAGCTGTACAAGGTATATAGTGTAGTCTCTTCCCCTTCAGATGTTAAAGAGGCTGAATCAGTGGAAAATAGCTTGACTTGCTTGAGAACAAGGCATGAATCCCTGGGAGGTAGTATTACCTCCTGAGGACCAGCATCTCGGCTAACTGTAGACAACATAAACTGATCCAGCTGTCCTTGCTATCCTAACTTCTCAGGCAATTTGTGTTTCTGTGGAGCCAGAAGAGGGAAAGTTTACCTCAGAAGTGAAAAAACTAAACCAACCTCAAGAAACAGTATGTTGGAAAGGAATCACAAAATGTAACGGAGAGGAAAAAGTGCCCTCATTTCAACAAATGCAGTGTAGTAAGATCTTCCAGTTCTTTAACCTTACAATAAAGTGCAGCTATTCAAGGGCTCAACTTGTAGAATAACATTATACTCGCTCTTCATATAAACCCTAAACCAAGTAAATAGGGTTTTAATAAGAGAGAGAAAGAAGGTTGGAAGCTATTTTACAGTCCCACCCCTAAACATGCATTCAAAGTGGGAAGCAAGACATCCAAAATCTTTCAGATGGCAATATCCAAAGGAAATATTTGCAGATTGTTGCCTTATACATCATCTGTAAATGCTGCTCCTGGATTTTAAATTGACTTTGTAATTCTAGCTCCATATTCTCAAGATGCTGATGACTTTCCAAGTAAAAGTATTTGAGGTGAAGAAAGCATCATTTGTTTCACATGGCTTCAGGGTTATTTTTTGTCTGTTTGTTTTTGTCCTCATGGACACTTTGCTGATATTTTGCATGCCATTTGCCTAGTCTGGGAATCATTTCTGGTTCCTGGTGTGGAATGTGGGATTTCACAACTCTCTTCTTCAATGACATCATGTGGTTTGCTCGGAACACAGCAGTAATAAATCAGAGCAAGGGGAGTTTGCTAGTCCACCTTTAATAAACATTTTATCTTTTCTTTTGGGGGGTTTTCCTTTGGGGGTTTGATCTGGTTTGGGGGTGTTAGGATACTACATCGTGTTTTCTGTGTAAAGAGGATAGAGGGTCCTATCTGGATAACAAGGAAACCAAGTCCTGGTTAAATGTTCCCCTTAGCAGTGGTTAATGTGAAGGCCTGCACTCCTGAGTACTTTGGAAGAGAAGTACTTTGAAGGGAGGAAATTCACCGTCAGTGAAAAATGCAGAGAGTATTTGGTTTCCTTTTTGATGAGCACCTACTTTTCTTTCCTGATATAAATGTGAGCCTTGAAGAGAAGGCTTTGCTGATTGTAAGGGTGAGAGTTGGTTTAGCTTTTTCCCCCTGCTGCGCTGTTCTTCCAGTTTCCACCTGTTCAGCATCATTACAAGTTTGAGCTCTCGCTAGCAATTGCACTTTCTGTGGCAGAGTCTGGTGCTGGCTAAATAGACAAAACTAGCAAGAGTCTTTCTGTATGAATTTGTTTCTGGGAATGGCACATTTCTATATTTATGGATGCCTATTACAAGAGCTTCGCCATTTGAGGGGAAGGCTCTTTATGCATTGCTTAGCAATGCATATGAAGCTCAGGCTGCCCTTTCCTTTGTGCTCTCTGATGGCCTCAGGGCAGCACCAAGCTGTATTTTCAGCATTCAGAATAGGTGAGAATTTGCAAGAAATTGTGC